CCTTGCAACTTGGATGGGAAACATCTCTTGCCTGGAGCTATGGAGTGCTAGTGTGAGCTGAGACGTCCCACAAATCACTTCTTGCCATTGCCCATAGGATCCTGGCAAGCTCCCCCATCACTCAAGAATACAGAGGTGATTTTTTCAGGTACAACATGATGATTTTAAAATCAAATATGTGATAGGGAGAGAGCTGGGAGCTGCAGACACATTCCTGAATGCCTCTGACAGCAGTTCTGTGGACCAAAGCCCTGACCTGACATTTTTCACCCGTCAATTTGATAAAAAAGCTCATCCCAGTCTCATATGAAACGTGGACTGTGATTGCCAGAGCAACAGCTCAGGATAATTAAGGTTATGAGGACAGGGTAGCTGAGCCAACACGTTTCTCAGCTCTGTCACCAGTTCAAGAGGGACTTTAGTGCTAGATTTTTTGATAGCATTATGACCACGATCCCTAAAGTGCTGCATAAAAATGATAAAAAAAAAACAAACATGAAACCCATTTAGGGACTGAAATCCAATTTTTATAGGACTCAGCTGAAAAGTGATGCTGAGGAAGTTATCAAAGATGTTGCAAATGCTAAAATTCAGGCCAAGTTAATAAAGCACACTGCACTTGTGGCACAGGAAAACACTGGATCTGAGGAACAAAGCAAGCGTAAATTGGTTTAACGCTGAATGGAAAATACTACACATTCATTCTAGAGCTGGGGGCACATCTACATGTGCATTAGGGTGTTTTTTCAAATGCGCATTAAATTTAGTACCTCCGATGTGAAGTCCTAAAGAAATATGCACTGAGCTGCCTTAATGTACGGTAACAAATGTGCACAGTTTTTACCTGATGCTTAAGGTGCAGTAGCCTATTTTACTGCACATTAGCTTAACAGCACTTTTGTAAAGTTGTGCTTTAATGCTCAGTAAAATAGACTATTGTGCATTAAAGTGCATGTGTAGACAAACCTGTGGATCTGAACCAGGGCACTGTGAGACCCTGTCAGGGGGTGCACACAAGGAGCCCTGCTGCATGGGACTCTGATAACCTGAAAGCAGATGGCTTGGGCTGTCGTCCTTCCTAGTTCACCTCTCCCTCCCCCTCTAAACTTCTCTTGGAAAGGGAAGCATGCAGGACCATTAACAGCAGTTCTCAACTGGGGATGCTGCCATGCTCCAGAAAGCAGTAGAGCAGTGCCCTGGCACTGAGAAGGTAGAAAATCACTGCCCTAGACCCTTTTTCTCATTTCCCAGAGACATCTTTACCAGGAGATACTACAGCCAACTGGGTGGTTGTACATGCAAAGTCCATTTTCACTAGACATGGTGCATCTGACCTGGGCATGTCTGACAGTGATGCATAGCTTAATAAGCACTATTAGGGTCTAGACATGCACCTAAAATGAGGTTAGGGTCTAAACATGCACTTGAAAGTGCCCATTATCCTCAGACTCCAAAAAAACTGGTGGAAAATGGAGTTACAACACAAAGTGGATGTTGAAAAAGACTGCAGCGTCAGACCCCGATCTGTATGACACCAGCGAGCTGCGGCTTGTCATCTACAGACGACTTCGCTGGGATGCTTTCACCAAAGAAGTCAAGCTCGGTGGAATGGTGCGTTTGCAGAAACACAGACAGAGCTTTAAAAAGCACCTGGCCATTTTGGGGTGCCAGGAGCTGCCCCCACACCATGAAGAAGATGCCGTGTCCGTCTGTGAATAAGCAGAAGTGACAAGCAGCAGGGGTGTCACCTGCAGCTGCCTCTCTGGCATCTGAGGTTGGCCTCACTCCAGCTGGCAGTTTCCAGAGAAGGGGCACAAAGTTCATTGTTTTGCCTGAGAAAGTCTCAAAAAGGCAACAACCACAGTGGGTTAAGGACCAGTAAGGCCCAGGACTGAGCACTGCCAAAACAAAGGGACTATCCAGCTCCTGACAACACTCGTGCTGGTGTTTCAAATCCATATGACACCTCTGTGCTTCCCAAACTACAACTGCACCATTTTAGTACATCCACTGAACAGGCTAGGTTTGACCATTTGGCATCCAACAGTACAGACCTGCCCTTGGCTAATGGCTGGTTTTATGCTTAATTTTACTTATGGATATTCCTTTCCCCAGTTTACTTATCACTATTCCTACCCCTGGCGGGGAAAGGAAGAAGCGGTGTTGGGAACTGCACCTTTCAGCAGCTTGGCCTCCTAAACCTAGGGAAGGATGGCTGCACAAGCTGCTCTGCAAGGCATGATTCGTGGGGGGGGGGAAAAAGAGGGCCTCTTTTCAAGCCGCTTAAGGCTAGAGTGATCCCTGAACACCCTGGCAGGTAGAAAGCTGCAGAAATGCCCCAGCCACCTCATATGGATAGGCCCGGCCTTCCTCATGTAATGCCCAGCATGGAGCTTTGTGGGGGTGTAACCAGGGTGTGGCAACTAGGGCAATCAAATCGAGGGGCGCATGAAAAAGCTCCCACCGGCAACCACAAAATTGCCAGCAGAGCAGCAGCAACCTGAAGTCACTGCTGTCTTGGGTGCCTCACCACATCATTAGGCAGTTAGGTCTTTGGGCCCTTCTCAGGAGAGTCTCCAAGTTGGCTACGGGAAGCTGGTGGAGGGAGGGACACTTTCCTTCGGCTCAGCTGGCAGAGAGCTTGGGATGGTCCCTGTAGACCATCCTCCTGGACGGGCACGTGGTGGGCTCTGCACAGACGCAACACCCTTCACCCCAAGCTCAGGCTTTTCCCTGGAGCCTGCAAGGATGACTGCAGTTGGAGATCCCTTTCCCTTGCAGCTCAGTTGCCTGCCAAGCTGACCGTCTGTACAGAGCATGTGCTCGGTGTCGAGACCTGGCTGCAACGCATGCCTTATGTATTCAATCCCTAATGACACCTGAAACACGGGCTGAGCAGGGATGTAAAGCAAGGCACAGCCAATGCTCAGCAGCAGCTTGGGTCTCCTTCCCCCCCTGCCAGGCTCCACATTACCTGGTGCATCCCTCATCCTTCACCAGTGGGAAAATGCGCATTACTGCCATTAAGGGGGCCCAGCTCAACCTGCAGAGAAGGATGGACGACTGCAGGATAGATAAAACCAGGCCACGTGCACAAGGCATTTGGTGGGGAGTCCTGGACCAAAGTCTCCTTCTGTAGCTCTCAGACGTGGTCCAATACGAGAAATACTGGCCCCCTGCACACACCACCCATCACTGCGCTCCTTCTAGCTTGCAAGCGAATGTTAGAAAGTTTAAAGTAAACACATTAATCTCTTTACCCAAAATATTTGTGCTGCTGCTGGCTGCGGTTCAAAAGTTTCAAGGGCACAAGAAACATTCACTTTTTTTTTGCTGATAAAAATATTTCGGTCTCTTGCTGTCAGCAGGCCACTAATGTCAATGCACATTTGAAAGTCACTACAGAACGAAGGGATCATCGAACGAACAGGAGCAAAGCTAAATGCAAATGATGTGTCTGAACTTCCAGGACTCGCCCTCTGCCTGAAGAAGGGTGTTTGTGCCTAACAGCTTGCAAAAAACAATTTTTCCAACTATTTAGCTGGTCTAATACAAGATATCACCTATACCCAAAGAACCCTGTCTGCCTACAAACTTCCTGGAGAAAGGGAACAAAAGCAAGAAGACAAGAGGTAAAACTATGACAAAGCAGGCCTAGTCGTGGCCTCAACTCAGGCGCAAGCGGTCCTCTTAACTCTCGGGCCAACAATTAAAATGAACCCACAGCATACCTGGCCAAAGTCAAAATTCAAGGAAAACCTTTTAAAGATCACAAAATTACCAGCTCCACTTAAACAGGACAGTCCTTCTAATCCAACAACACATGCAGAGGTTTTTCAAAGGTAACTCGTGGTCTTGGTCGCTGCATATATTTTTTGTGCCCAACCTAAGACGCTTTCGTAGATTCATAGAAAGCACGGGTTGGAAGGGACCTCAGGAGCTCATCTAGTCCAACCCCCTGCTCAAAGCTAGTCGACAGAAATAAAAAAGCAGTCGAGTTCTCAGCAAGCGCCCAAAATGTTGTAAGAAAACATTTTTTCCAACTATTTATTTGGTCTAATAAAAGATACATCGCCTTTACCCAAAAAACCTCATCTGGCTCTGAAATCCAGGCACCCTTAACACATCTCAATGTGGGCAACTCGAAACCAAGACACTGAAAGCCCTGTGATTCTGTAAGTATCAAAGTCTCCTCTCAAACTTTGCGACTGGGAATGCAGGAAGCAAATGCTGCTTTAAAGTCAACCACACGCGAGAGATGATCTGCAAAAGCCTTAACTCTGACTCAGCCACGATTTGCATAGCATGCGCCTTCATCCCGTCTCCCCCCACCTCTCCCAGCACGTCTGTCCTCCGTCCCCGGCTCTCTCAAAGCACCAGGCCTCAATGTTTCAGCCATCTGGCTGGTCCTGCATGGTGGTGCAGTATGCCTCGGTGATGCCGGGAAGCCTGGTTAATTATCTAAAACACTGGTTTTATTTCTATCGACTGCAACCACATTCCAGAGACCTCGCCTGCCTTGGCAGCCAACGGGCTCTGGACATGCACTGAGCTTCGGCCGTTGTTTTCAGCTCTACACTTCCCTCATTTCACTTTCATTTCCCATCCGCAATCTGAATTCTCCCATGTCGGAGACAGTCGTGCCAGACAGTCATAAAGGACTCTCCCCTCCCTGCAGAAGCTTGACAGTCACATCTGCACCTGGGTCTGACTCAAACACATGAAATACAGCTCAGTTTACGGTTTTCCCCAATCTGCTGATATCCTCTACAAGGATACAGGGTGTTTGCATGAGACTGCAGGAAGCAAATGTGGGGCAGCGGGTGGTCGCTAGTCCAGACCTTAGGGGCTATATTCCACCCAGGCAGCATCCTCCCGGCAGACACGCACTTGCAACCGCTTGCTATATGTACCTTTCCCATCCCAGCAATCGGAACGATTCGGAAAGAGGAGGAGAGCAAAGGAGGCTTAAGGCAATGCACATGTTAGACAGTCCTCACCTTGAGAGAGTCAAAGCAGGCAATAACTCGACCATTTTCCACATGGCAACTCCGTGATGGGTGGGCAAACTTGCACTCTGCATCAGATCGAGAACAAGTCCCCCTCTGAAATTCTCGACATACTTCCAAAGTCAGCCATTTTGTATCACGAACCAGGGAAACGTTTACAGCCATATTAAAAACAAAAAAAAATTAAAACGCAAGCAATCACACCCTTCTTTAGGACGATATCACGGCTGATTTTTCTTTTCTTTTCTTTTTTTTCTTTCTTTCTTTTTTTTAAAAAGGGTAAAAAAGTGAATTCAAGTTAAACGTGAAGAAAGAACTAACTTGTTGCTTTGGTAAAATTTCTATTCATCAGCACTTAGGTTTTCATTTAAGTCAAATTGCGTTTGATTAAACAAGGATTAAACATAAAGCCAATCATAAAATAGAAATCTTATCAGAAGAACTGAAAATTCAAATTAGAGACCAGCTCCTAAAAGTGCAATTGTAGAAGTTAAAATATAAGTGTTATATTTTGTGCCACTGCCGAAGTTACTTTGAAATAACTGGCAGACTTTCAAAAGAATTCTGTGCTCTCCAGTTAATGGTTTCAATTATTCTTGCAAAAAAAACATAGGCTGTTGGCAGCACTTCACTTTGTGGAATGGTCTCGGTCCTCAGGGGGAAAACTTGGGTCGGTTTGTTGTTTTTTTTTCCCTTCTATTTCTTGCTTCTAAAAATGACAATTCGCGAGCATCAAAAAGAGCAAAAGGATGGTACAATGGTGCAAAAAATTAAAAAGTATTTGCTACATACTCGGGGAAAGGAAAAAAAAATGGCCGAGCAAACTGAGTGTAAAAGGTGAGGAGGGGGGCCGGGGGGGGAGGATGGGCGAGTTGCCGTCAGGGGATGAACTGCAAGCGAACGCCAAATTAAAAAAAAGGGGGGGTGCGGGGAAGAGAGAGGCAGCCCCAGACAGAAATCCAAGCAGCCGTGGCTTCAGGAAAGGCACTTTTCAGCAACCTGCGGGGAAAAGAGAAATAGAATCAGCTAAAACAATACCATCTCCCCCTTGGCAAAGTCTAGCGTTCAGAAACAAACTGCATTCATCTCAACAGGAAACCTCCAGACACTGACAGTGCGGCATAGTGCAGTCAGCCATTGTAGATAAAAAAAGGGCATTTCCCACATGAAGCTGCGCATGGGAAGAGGAAACCACCAATTAGATCGACTCTTGCAGCTGAACGTCTGGGCAGCCGCCCAATGCAAGGGAGTGTCTCACATGGCTCTCTGTTGGCAGGCGTTCGTTTTTGTGCCCAATGCACAGAAAATGCCTTCGTCTGACGCTGTGGCCTCCGGTGCGTTCGGGAGCGCTCTCGGCGCAGCCCGGCCCTGGCACCGCTCCCCCGCGGGAGCCTGGGCGCGGCCTACCTGCTCCTGCATCCGCGCGGCGCGAATCCCCAGGCAAGCTAGCCTACTGCGAGCAGCGACGGCATTGCTCCCCCCTCGTGCACGCCACGGCCACAACGCAGCCAGACAGAGATAGGGGAGCCCCGAGAGCAGGGTGGAGCGCGGCGGACGGCATGGCGGCGGGGTGCAGACAAAGAAGAAATAGATTCTCCGTCTGCCCTTTTTAAACACAACGACAAAAATAAGAATATTTAATTAATTAAAAGAAAAAAAATAAAACCAAACAAACACAGACACACATTCCCGCTCGCTCTGTAGGAAGCTCTCAGCCCAGACAGCGTGCACAGTGTTCGCAGCGTGCACGGCAGAGAGAACGGCCTTGCTTCGGCTCCCCTGCACTAACGGCTACGCATCCTTACGGTGATTTGCTTAACCCGTTCTTCCCTGGGACACGGCTGCAGGCGCGGACAGGGCCGGCTGCGTGCAAAGGCGAGGGCCTGAGTCACCGTCGCACGCCTATAAATCTGGACTCCACGAAATCAAAAGCAAAACCGCCATGGAAACTCGAGACACGCACCAAGCAGGGAGAGGAATTAACTCCTTGTGACCGGCTGCCTTTTACAGCCAGGCAGAAGGCGATTTAAATGGCTGGATGGATTCGGAGAACCGGCAGCTCCGGGGTGCTGTGCGATCAATGACTTCCAGCTGCTTTTTAGCCTTTGTGTGAGGCAGCACGTGAAGTCTTCCCTGGCATTTCCCAGACTTATATTAGATGCAATTAATAAAGCCTGAAGGGATTAAGCTCTTTCAGAGTTTCTGAAAGCAGCTTTTTCTTTTTTCTTTTTTTTTTTTTTGGGGGGGGGGGGGAGAGGGGGGCGTAATATATTGCATAACAATATATTTATTGAAGTTTAGATTAAATATTAGGAAAAACTCTCTTGCTAGGAAGGTATGAAGCACTGTAACAGGTTACCCGAAAGGTGGTGGCATCTCCATCCTTGGACATTTTAAAGACCCGGCTAGACAAACACTCGGCTGTGTTGGGGCTGGCTCTGCTAGGAGCAGGGGGTCGGACTAGATGTGACCTCCTAAGCTCCCTTCCACCCTCATTTTGTATGAACTTTTAATTCACACAGGCAAGCTACATGCTGGCCAAGATCAAACTTTAAAACGACAAGGAATGGAAGCCTGCTTTCCCCCAAATTTTGATCCATGCACCGTCATGACTTGTTAGCACATTGCAAGCGTGCTGCCAGGTCAAGCACACATGCAGTGAAAGAAGGGCAGGAAAATACCCTGATGACACTTCTGTCATTTGCCCGACATTAAAAACACATGCACACAAAACACATTCAGAAGCAAAGTCCAAGTCTGATCTGAGCCAAGTGAAGCCAGGGGCAAAAGTACTGGAAACCAAACAAAACCCTGCTCTTTGCAGCCTGAGGTCTGGAGAATCAATAGGCCAGCGGGGCCTCTGCATTTCTGCACATCAGGTGGAGAACAGAGGCAGTGAAAGTCGAGATTTACTGACATCTTTTAAACTTCAAAGGGAAAGGAGACGGAAGGTCTGACCACACTAATCTGGTCCGGGATGGAGAGGCTCTCTCCCTACCAACTGTGACGTTGCACTTCTGTATTTGCATGGGGCTTGCTGACGGCTGCGCTCCTGATCCTGCTCAGCTCAGCACGTAGGAACAGGCGCACAGACACCTCTTCCCAGACAGCTCCGAACAAGCTGGGTGCAGCTCCCAAAAACAAGCCGGCACAGGTCGGCCACGGGTGGGGTCGGGGTGGAATGCTCTTAGGAATGATCCTCCAAGCGCAGCTGTGGTGCTGGCCCCAGCCCTGGCCGGCAGTGGATGCGAGCTGTCTCATACTCCTTTATGGACCGGAGCATCGCGCGCCCAAACTGCCCACCTGCAATTACCCAGCTAATGAATGCTGTCCGTTTGCACAGCTCCTTTCAGCCTGCAGATCCCCTAGCATGCAACCGTGCCCTTACAGACACACATGTAGTGCCCAAAAACTTGCAAAGAACAATTTTTCCAACTATCTATTTGGTCAAATAAAAGAGATCACATCTACGCAAAGAACCTTGTCTGCCTATGTCTACACACACGCACAACAAGTCATTTGTCTCATGCTCTTCCTAATGAAAGAGCAATGTAAAGGGAAGGATATTACACGTTCACGTGGGCACGTACGAGATTAGGGAGGGCAGCACCATTCTTCTGCTGCCTGCTGAAGACGTGCTAGGTGCTGTAGCCAGCAGTTTTCTGAGAAATTCATGTCGCCAGCATTGTGTCTGCCTGCCACTGGCTCCCTGGCTTGATCGACCCAGTTGCAGCTAGGTCAGCCGGGGACAGCCTTTGATGCAGGCCCAGAGCTAGGCTTGAACTCACCCCTCCAGAGCTGCAGCAAGATGCTGGGACCGCTCTGCCACCACACCCTGAAGCAAGTGCAGTAGGAGCCACTCCAGATGCCTGCAGATACAGCAGGCAGCTTTCAACTGTGCAAACAGAACCAGCCACTTCCCAAATGTCATTGATCTTGACAGCAAAGGCACCGCTGAAGCCAATGTAAACCAGCATGCTCGTTCCTGCCTAACAGCCCCCACTCGGCTGTTTCCACTGCTAGATACACGGTTACTCACAGTCAGCACTCGGGCTCTGCTCAGCTGTTCACACCTTATTAAGGCTTGTTACCTTAGTGCTTATACCACTGGGTCTACAGCGGTCCCCTTGACCTTGATAAGACCAGCTTCAGACCTGTGAATAGCATGGCATGAATGCCGGTCAAGAAGGACTAGCATAGTACCTCTCAACTTTTCTGGACTGGAGGCACCCCTCCCTTGCTAGTGTGAGTTGAATGGCACCCAGTTGCAAAACCTGATTTATATATTACCATGCTCACCGCCTTGCAGAGGGGCTGGGCACTGGGGGTAAAAGATCTGCCAGGCAGGAACAAGCCTGAGCCTGCGTTCACCTACTTAGCCTCCTCACACCCTGCTCATCTCAGCACCCTTCAAAGGATCTTTTTTTCCTCCCCTCTGCAATGTGAGGGGTAAAGCGCTGCCCCCCACAAAGGTTCACAGAATGAGAAAACCAGGACAAGTCATAAAGCACTGTTTTTGGTAGCTCTCGCCTTGCCGAGGTTAAGGAGCTGCTGCTAACTATGCCAGGCCGGGGGCAAAACTCTCCTCCCAGGTTACCCAATGGACCGATTTGGATGCAACTGCCAAAGAAGAGGACGAGGACCCCAGCGAGGAGGTGAGCTGGCAGGCTTTATTCCAACAAATAAAGGCCCTCTGGGCTTTGCAAGAGACCACGACCAGCCAAAACGCGGTGGGGGGCCGGAGGCTCGCGACGGAAGTCAAAGGCCCCAGTCTGACTCCAGTGGAGTCGATCTGTCCAAGCAGGGGTCAGGTCAGGGATGCCTTCGGCAGGACGAGCACGCGACAGCAGCTCGAGGTGGCACGAGGACACAGGAGCAGATGGCTCAGCGGTCAAATCCCTCCTGTTCTCCATGTAACTGATCCCATCCAAGGATTCCCCACACCCCCTGCCCCCCTTGATGGACACCGGCTCGTGTGCACGTTTCCCAACAGCAGAGCTCGCGGAGACTGTGATTCATACAACGGGGCTGATTCAGGCAGCTCCCCTGCAGGCGCGACGTCGTTTAACTTGCTGCTCCGTCCTGAACAAACACCGTGGTGTAAACTGCCTGGTGGGGTTCCCTATTTACCATTCCTCCACCATTTCCAGGTCACATTTGCACTGTTTAGAAGAGACGAGCAATTTATCCTAATTGCTAACCCTACCAGGCAGAGCTGTTGAGATTTTTTTTTTTTTTTTTGTCAGGCGGAGAAAAGCCACTGGGGGAAACAAAATGGGGAATGAAACGCAAAAGGCATACTGTGTGAGCCACTTCATTAGCATCTTTAATCCTCGAGTTGACACATCTTGTCAAAAGGAATGAATGACTTCAAGCAAAACACGGGAACGCAACGGCTGAGAACCCATCCTACCAGCTCGGTAAGATCGGCTTTTAGACCTGCCTTGAGACAGACGCACAGTTTTTATCCACTTTGGAGTTTCTCTTCAGTTAAGAGCGTGGACCAAGCCAACAGTAATGGGTTAAACGCCCACTGACACTGAAACAAAAGACATTCCCAGCTTTTTTGTTGACTCCACTAACTGGTCAGGTCACTACCTTAATTACTAGCCCACATCAGAGCATCACAGCTTGGGTTGCACCGTTCTTTATAAAGCATTACAAGTAGCTCAACCAGCAAGGGCTCTGCCTGTTCCCCAGGGCTGCTAGACAGCTCTACAACTCTATTTCATCGCCTTCTGCTGGGCACAAACCTCCCCCCGAAACCTTGATGCTCCCGTCACTTCTCCTTTAACATCCCCGAACAGTGAAACGTTTCATCCGGCAACTGCAATAACGAGACTTTAATGTTTCCAGTACCAGAAAAGCTTCCAAATAAGTGCTAGGTTCTTGTAAATACTTCCCAAGGCCACAGATGCTTTAGAGAGAGGAAAGATTAAATAGAAAATAAAATGGTTTCTTCTTTTTTTTTTTTGGTGGGGGGAACTGAATCTAAAAAGACTCAACTCAGCCAAACAAAACTTCAATGAGGTTTGCACGCCTCCATCACCTCCTCCCCCTGGTTGTTGCCTTTGCTGCAAAAGCTTCCTCCATGCCAAAATACCGGAGATAAAACTGTAGCCTCCTTTTCCAAGTTGTACCTCCTTGTGAGCCCTCAATGGCATGGGCAAAGTGCAATGGGGCAGCATTTTACTTGGGGAACCTGGTTACGGGTGAAAGCACTGGCTTGGAGGCCAGAGAACATGGGAATCCAGGTGCAAAGGGAGATTCCAGGTCAAGTTCGTGGGAAGGGAAAAAGCACCTTTCTTCCTGGCCACCTCGGCTCCCTGGGACCTGACGGGCATGCAATGTCCCAGCACCGCTTGCTGGACCCGTTTCTCATTAAAACACAGGGCAAAGCAGCCAGGATCTCAACAGTTTTGGAGACGCCAACTGGTCAGGCCCAAATTTTGCAAAAAACTGAAGCTGACACTGAAGTTATCCTGCACCTGGGGGAGGCTTAGGCCCATGCTAAAGCTTTTTAGACTTCAGTTCCCTACAGACCCCTTGCAAACAGACCTCCTATTGACTCAAATAGGGTTGCAACGCCAAGCGCGCACAGTAGCACCGCCGGAGATTTAACACCAGCTCCCCTATATTTAGAAGATATTTGTGGTTAACGGTTGGCCTGTGTACATATACGGGGCAGAACCAGCTGCCCCTGCCTTTGAGAGAGGGGTTTTTTTTTGTTGTTGTTGCTGCTATTAAGAGGGGAAATCATATTCTATCTTAACCCTGCCTTTAACTTTTTTTTTTTTGTTTAAGCCAACACTTTAGACACTGGAGAGACACTTTGAATATTTCCTTTGTGAACATTTTGTACCTGGACATTTTCCCCCTCGGGGAACAGTTTACTTAATTTAAGGTAGACCTGAGCAGTGAACAAGACATAAAACCTCTTTTGTTCGCCAAGCAGCTCCCTGTAAAAAGGAACAGATTTGCAACTTTCTCCTCCGCGGCCCTGCCCAAAAAGTTTTCGTTCAAGGTCTAACTGCAGCGGCTGGGGGCTTTGAATGGTCCAATCCAGCCCAGAGCTTTCTGCACGCCCAGCCAGCAGAAGAAGTACAGTCTTGCCATGGCAAAGCCACGTGAGCAGGACATGGGCTGCAGAAACCATAGGGGCAAACG